AGAAACCTTCTTGCTTCACCTAAATTTATTCATGTCCTGAACTATTTGTTCTAGGGCTAATGCTACTGTTCAGTGTAATTAGCTTGCTCTCCCATAGCCCCCCTTCCCTTTTCCACCACCTGTGCACACAAAATTTTACCCCAAAATAAAGAAACTCATCTCTGGCTCTCAGGCATAGGGGGAGAAATCAGCATTCAGGGTGACAAAGTGATTGTTACCCACAGACTCATTTCATCATCGATTTAAGGCACCTCAAAAGTTCTCTCTGTGGCTCCAATGGGATGTGAATTTTGMTGCAAGCAATTTTTCTTGTAGTGTGTTTCCTCTGTCCTGCAGCTGCCACTGAACATGTAGAGAGATGCTGGCAGTGTTTGGAGATAAACATCTTTGCTGTCTCCAGTTATTTTGATTAAAAGGGATGACAGAATCAAACAGCCTTTGAAGTCAGCAGGATAGTTACAAAGTAAGAAGACTCAAAACCTTTTCTGTGGATTTTGGTGTGATTATTTCAGTCATGCTCTGACTGGTGGGGCTTTGGAGCAGGACTCATCCCTGCCACTGACTGCTGCTCCTGAGGGTGACGCTGCCGTCACTGCCACGCACTGAAATCCCTCCAAGAAAGGAGGAGAACATCCCTCTTTCACCATAAACACATTTCTCCGAGACAAACACTGTGGCCTCTGCCTAACAGATGCCTGGCAATGRATTGTCTGATTAGGCAACAGCTTTTTTCCACCTCTGTATCTCTGGGGAGCATGCAGACCCCCTGCCTTCCTGCCACCATCCCTGACTTTCTGTGTCCACGCTGCTTTTTCTGCACCTATGGACATGTCACCTGCTAAAACTCTTCCTCCCCAAGCTAATTCTCCATGGCAAGGTCAACCCATCCAGAGTGAGGGCAAAGCACCATGGTCTGGATGCTGTGCAGAGGGCAGGGGTGAATACCACAGTGCTTGGTCACGTTTTTAGTGTGCTGCAGCCTTAGACAAACCTCATTTATTGATCTTCCTTAATAAGGAAACTGCATCCCYGCTGAGTTACAGCACATGTGATTTGAGGAGACCAGTTTCTTACCAAGGAAGCTGGAAGATTATTTAAAGGGAATAAACAAGCTCCAATCCTAACTGGGCAGCAGYTCCCTGACTAAAATATTGAAAGCAAAGCAAGCTGCCCTTCAGCGAGGCTGCCAATGACACCCTTATATCCCTGCTGTGTCCTGCTGTGGCACACTTGYTCCCAGGGGCAGTTCAGTGACTGCACTGCCACCACTGCTGTTATTTGCAGGGCAATAGCAGTGRTGGGCAGTGAGCAAAACTGGGAGCTCCCCTCTGCTGAGCACCCTACAAAAACTGGCCAGAAGGCAACTTCTGCCCCAAAAAGTGGGATCAGATGAACAGAAGCTACATGAAACAAAGCAGTCAAATCTCTGTTGCCCAGGCAGAGAGAGGGAGGGGTTCTCACAGAAGAAAAACAGGGATAATTCTACATATTTTGCACCTGAGKCTTGGCAGAGGCTGTTAGCTTAGGCTTGGTGCCAGGCAAACAAGGTTTTTCTGCCTCTCTGCCCACACTGAGAGGCCTCACTCAGGTTTTGGAGCAGGACAGCCGTTCTGGATGGAGCTGCAGGAGCCCCCTCAGGTGTTCCTGGGCTGGCAGCAGAGTCAATCTGCCAAGCAGATCATCCCCCACAGCTACCAGGGAACGCACTCRTGTGTTATCCTCGTCAACAGACGYGGGGACAGAGATACCGACAGTGATGAGACTCCAGCAAGGTTGTCTGGGGCGACCCAGATATCTTTGACCACGTCTTTAACAATGAGACCACCTTTTGGGGCCCCTTGCACATCCTCTGGTGCAGGATAGGCTCACTGGTTCCTGTAATCCACAGTGCAGAGGTGTTTGAGTTGCACACCCTGAGGAAGGATGGACCTGTGGTGGCAGGGCACGAGCTTTGCTTCAGTTCTGGACAAAAATATTATCAAGATTCCCTTTCAATGCCCTGCTAGTCAGATTTATCAGATAAAAGAAAAGTTAGTTTTACAACAACACTAAGAAAAAGGCAGTATTTTAAATATATCAAACTGTGCTGCAGAACATGGCAGCAATCTCGTATGGAGCTCAAATTAACATCCTGTCCAGTGATGGTTGATGAACCAAACTGGTTCTTGTTTGCATAAAAACTCATCTTTGAGCTCAGCCTCACGTACTCAGTCTGCACTACCTTGGCTAAAACAACTCTTTTTGTCTCTCCCCCCCGAGGTCAGTTTTTATTTAAATCAACCACAACTGARTCTCCATAAGCTGTGGATTCAACSCGTGCAGGTCATCAAAGAGCCTGCTCTGTGCTTCAGCTTCTGCTTGGGTGCTGCTCGAGATAAAGCACATGATTATTATCCACACTCCTTAATGAGCACACGGGTTCCAGCACCAGCGAGGCGYGTGAGGAACCAAACGGGGCAGCAGAGCTTTTGTTGGGGTCACTGCYGAGGAATGTCACCATTTCTGCACTGGGAAGGTCCCCTGGGCCCCGTGGCTGGCACCCAGCTCCACAGAGCACGGTCC